AGAGTTGAATGTGAATGTTATGAATGAAAAGAAGCTGGATGTCCTGGCTTTAAGCAAAACAGCTTTACGGGCTAGGAGATTTCAATAGGAAAAAATAAATGGGGTTAGATCAGGTGTATGTGAGAGAGACCTAAGGAAGGAGTGGTAATACTGTTGAATGATCAGTTATGGAAGGAAAAGAGGCAAAATAAATGTATAAATTCAAGGATTATGTGAATTAAAATAAGGGTGCTTATAAAAAGTGGGTTATAATAAGTGTTTACACACCTGGAAGAGAGAGGAGTGTAGAGGAGAAAGAAGGATTTTGGAAGATGTTAAGTGATTGTTTGGGGAGTTTTGAACCAAGTGAGACAGTAATTGTTGTGAGGGATCTAAATGCTACAGTGGGAAAAACTGTTGTAAAGGGCATGGTAGGTAAATGTGGGATGCAAGGGCTAAATGATAATGGGGGCCTTTAATTATATAGAAAGAAGTTTGGTAATAGGTAATATGTACTTAAGAAAAAGAAGATAAAAAGTATATGAGATATGATATAGGATGTAATGACAGCAGTTTGTTTGACTTTATATTAATTGATAAAAGGTTGATGGGTAGTCTTCCGAATGTATATGGCTTTAGTGGGACAGCAGATATATAAGAGCATTATTTAGTTGTAGCTACAGTGAGAGTAAGAAGTAGATGGGGTACAAGGAAAATGTCATCAGTAAGAGAGGAGTTTATAAATTAGAGGAGGAGGAAGTTAAGGTAAGATATAAGCAACTGTTGGAAAAAAGATGGGCTAGTGAGAGTATAGGTAATGAGGATGAGGTTGAAGAGGTATGGTATAATTTTAAGAACGCAATGTTAGAATGTGCATCTGAAGTTTATGGATATAGGACAGTGGGTGCAGGAGGAAAAAGGGATGATTGGTTAAATGATGCCATACAAGAGTGGTAAGGGAGAAAAAACTAGTACTGTATATGAGAGGTTTTTACAAATCAGAAATTATACAAGGTGTAGCACATGGAAAGTAAAATGAGAGGTTAAGAGAATGGTGAGAGTAAAAGGAGAACAAATGAGAGTAGGTGAGGTTTTGTCAACAAACTTTTTTGGAAGTAAGAAAAGTTTTGGAGACTATTAAATTGAGAAAGCTTAGGGAATAAATGAATTTAACAGTTAAAAACAAGAGGGAAGTTATTCAATGAGTAGGTGGAGTTAATGGGAAGATGGAGAGAATATTTTGAGGAACTGTTAAATGTTAATGAAGAGAGGGAGGCAATGATTTTGTGCATTGTACAGGAAGGTATAACATCTTTTAGGAGTGACAAAAAGCCAGATGCGAGTGTGGGGGAGGTGCACGAGGTTATTAGTGAATGAGAGTAAAGCAGCTGGGTTTGATGGGGTTGACAGAATTGTTAAAAGCAGGTGGGGACACAGTTTTGGAATGGTTGGTGCATTTGTTCAATAAATGTATAAAAAGGGGAACAGGTACCTAGGGACTGGTAGAGCATGTGCATAGTTCCTTTGTATAAAGGCAAAGGGGATAAAAGAGAGTGGAAGAATTATAGGGGAATAACTCTGTTGAGTATACCAGGTAAATTTATTAAGAGAATTAAGGGTACGACAGAAAGCAGGATTGCAGGTGAACAAGGAGGTACACAATACACAAATAACCCGCACATAGAAGAGAGGAGCTTACGATAACGTTTCGGTTTGACTTGTACCATTTACAAAGTCACACTGACAAAAAAGAGAGGAGGAGGAGGGAGTATATGTGTATATAGGCCGGCAGACAGGGACAGGACAAGAGAGGTAGTATTGGAGGTAGTAGTAGTAGTGGAGTCAGTCAAATACTAAGAAAGAGGAGCACTGTAAGGGAGCTAGGAGCCCACAGAGGGTAGGAGCAAGAAAGTTTTAGGAAGGGTAATGAAAGTGAAGCATATAAGTGAACAATATTTAGATAAAAATAAGGAAGTTTTTGTTGCATTTATGAATTTAGAAAAGGCATATGATAAGGTGGACAGGGAGTAATGTAGCAGATGTTATAAGTGTATGAAATAGATGGTAGGTTGCTTAAAGTACTTAAGAGTTTTAGAGGGTAAAGTGGCTCAGGTTAGGGTATATTGGATAAAGGGAGATTATTTTCCAGTAAAAGTAGGCCTTAGGCCTTAGACAGGGATGCATGATGTCACCATGGTTGTTTAACATATTTATAGATGAGATTGTGATATAAGTGAAAGCTAGGGTGGCAGGGGAGAGGTGTGAGATTGCAAGATAAAGACTGATACAGTGTGAAAGCTGTCACAGTTGATTTTTGCTTATGACACTGTGCTCTTGGAAGATTCTGGAGAGAAGTTGCAAAAGTTGGCTGACTAATTTGGGAGGGAATGTAAAAGAAGGAAAGTAAAAGTGAACATTGGAAAGAGGAAGGTGATGAGAGTAACAACAAATTTAGGTAATGAAAGACTTGATATCAGATTAGAGGGAGGGAGTATGGGTGATGAATTAGACCATTGTGCAACGCTAGGTATCTTAAGTGTGGAAACATTTCACCAACCAGAGACTTTTTCAGTCCAGTACAAAGAAGAATGTTTGAAGATCAGAAGGAGCTCGAGGTAATCGGTTCCTCAGCCTGGAGTCAGTGTGTTCAGTCCATCAGTCTTGATAAGAGTGCAGTGTATAAGCTCTTCTGCACACGTGCTGTACTATTATCAAGACTGATGGACTGATCGCAAAGATTCCAAGATGAGGGACTGATTACCTGAAACTCCTTCTGATCTTCAACCATCCTTCTCCGTAATGGACTGAGGATGCCATTGGTTGGCAAAACATTTTTATTTTAAAGATACAAGAGTGTTGCATAAGTGTCTAATTCATCAACCCATAAGTTCTATGAACCATTTATCTACAGGGAGATATTTGGAGTGGACTTGTCAGCAGATATGTTTATGAAAGATGATGTGAACCATAAAACTGTGACAAGAAAAAGGTAGATGGTGCACTGAGGCATCTGTGTAGACAAAGAACATTATCCATGGAGGCAAAAAGGGGAATGTATCAGAGAATAGTGGTACCAACACTCTTATATAGGTGTGAAGCATGGGTTGTGAATGTTGCAACAAGGAGGAAGCCAGAAACAGTGGAGATGTAGTGTCTGAGGGCAATGTGTGGTGTGAATATCATATAGAGAATTCATAGTTTGGAGACTAGAAGGGGGTGCACGATTATTAAAAACATGACCCAGAGAGCTGAGGAGGGGTTGTTGAGATGATTTGGACATTTGGAGGAATGGAGCAAAATAGTAATGTTTGGAGGGTGTATAAATCAGCGGTAGAGGGAAGACAGGGTAGGGGTCATCCTAGGAATGGTTGGAGAGAGGAAGTAAAGGAGGTTTTGTATGGCAAGGGGCTTGGACATTCAACAGGCATGTGTGAGCAGAATAGTATAATAATATCTTTATTGCTACAAGTACATGTACAAGGTATACAGGCCTAGCTGAGTGACATACTACAGTACAATATAGAAAGCCACATGTTATGTTTAGCATTTTGGGCAAATAAGGTCATTTTGTCCCAGAATGTGACCCACACCAGTCGACTAACACCCAGGTACCCATTTTACTGATGGGTGAACATAGACAACCAGTGTAAGGAAACATGCCCAATGTTTCAACCTTTGCTGGAATCAAACCCAGACCCTCACTGTGTGAAGCGAGAGCTTTGCTACCAGGCCTCGGGCCACCATGTGGCCCGTGGCATGGAGACAAGTGATTTTTATGACTTGACGTGCTGTTAGAGTGTGAGCAAGGTAACATTTCTGGAGATTAGCCAGGCTTAAGTCATGGAGGTGGGAAGTACAGTGCCTGCACTGTGAAGGAGGGGTGGGGATACTGCAGTTTGGGGGGCATCTTAACTGTAATGTCAGCATGCCTCTGGCAAGATGGTGATGGGGTGAGTGTGGTGAAAGTGTTTGTCTTTTTTTGGGGGGAGGGGGTCACCGTACCTTGGTGGGAGACAGCTAATGTGGTATAAAAAGTCTTCGTGAATCAAAATCCTCAGGTGTTTGCACATGTGACTTATTAAGTGGTTGTACTGTATACCATAAGGTTAATGATGCTTGTTTGACACAGCAGCACCATGGAATCTTGATACAAAGTATATTTCCTACAACTATATTGCTAACCTCTGGCCCAACTCATGGGCATGGCCTACTTCCAATAGTTGGGCCTCCCCCATCTATGGTGATGTCTTCAAATGCTGCACCTCTCCTCTGGCTCTATTGTACACCCCCAGACATTTGCTCTAGTTCAATGAAGGCTAAGGGACTGAATGTCTATAAAAATTCAGGACCTGATTACCTTTTCTTCCACTGTCTCTAGTTTATAATCTCTGTATTGAACTGAAAAATCCACTAATAAGTGGAACATCATTATGGAGATACCCAGGTGTTGCACATGTGTCTAATTCACTAAATTGTTGGTTTTATATACCACTTAAGTAATGATCTAAAAGATTATTATTTGGTGAACAGTCTGCTGTGTACACTGAGATGGTCTGAGGAAGCTGTCTCTTCACACCAGGCTATGAAGTTAATAAAATATATCATAATTATTATCATAAGCAAGGGGGAAGCACTAAACCCATAGGATTATACAAGCCTGTGGGGGGATGTGGAAGGTATTCAGGCTTAATTCAGGGAATTGGAGCACAGATCCAATTCCTATATCAAGAGCCCCTCACCAACATCAAAGAACCTTCCTTGAGGGGAAAATATATCTTAAGCAGCTACAGATGGGCAGAATAATTTTATAGGGATTTCTGATATGTGAATGTTGTCATCAGTATTAATTATACTGCATTCTAAAACTTTCTTATGTGAGTCAAATATACAAACTGTATTACATGCGTATAATTTTTTTCGTTTATTTTGCTGGACACCATTGCTGTTTTCTTTGCAATATTAAATGATAAATTGCTTATTTAAGTTAAGGGAGTAATCTAATAAAATGTTTTATTTTCTAGTATGATGGAAGCTTAGAACGACTGGCAAAGGAATCGGATATGCTCAAGCAATTATATGGCCATTTCTTCGACTTGACCATAGTGAATAATGACATCGAAGAAACAATTCGACAACTGGAAAAATCTATCGAAACTATGAATATGACACCGCAGTGGGTGCCTGTGTCATGGGTTTACTGACAGACCGCCCCTCCCCGAGACAGTCCCTCTGACTGCTATTGCTGTGGAACATCAAGGAGCAAAGAGGCTAACAGACGAGCCCATCAACACCATAGAAGGTGATCCAGTGGAGCATAGAACCACACAACCATGACCAGAGTGCCACAATCAAAGTCTCGCAAAATGAAATGCCTCATTTTACAATAAGATGTAAACAAACTGCCGGTATATAAAAAAAAATAGCAAAACGAGACAATACATTACAGCCATACACTGCACATACATGCTTGTCACTACGAATGTCTTGTTAGACAAGTGATGAAGGAAAGGAAGTGGAAACAAGTCTTGAGAGTGCTGTTATAACTAGCATAGAAGTTTTAGCAACTTGCTCAAAATGGGAACCTTTTCTAATGCATATATTTGGCCTGAAATCCTTGTATGAATTAAGGTGCAATAGTGGCTCGTGTCTGTTTTTCCTCTTTGTTTTTCTCACTTCAAGTTGATTCACAATAGTTTATGGTTCAGTTCACATTCAAAGATATAACCTGGAAACATTCTTGAAAATTCCTGCTTTATATTATACCACACATTGCATCTGTAGAAGAAAGTGAAAATGTATATTAATACCATTTATATGAAGTAGGAATTAGTGTTCATATCTTTTACTTTAATTTGCTAAAAAACAATATTATGATAATCATATTTGAAAACTGCCTATTCATATATATAAATACATTATAATACTTGTATACAGTATACATATATATACATACATACATACATTTGGCAGAATTGCCAAATGAGTAAAATTTAGTTTTCCTGGGTATTTAAACTTATGGCTTAAGATTTATTTCTGAAAATAAAAATGGTATATATGTCAACTCAGAACAAGAACTAACTCATTAGGGAATCAACCCTAATAAATATCTCTGTTACCTGATCTAAGTTAAGGGTGATGCACAGTTGTTGAGGCTATTTCATCAATATACCAACTCCTCTGAGAATTGAAAACCTAGGTTAATTATTATTTTTTGTACTTTGACTACCAGTAGCATTCAGAAATTTTGTTGCAAGAGAAACAGAAAATTAGATGAATTCAGCCTTGATTTGAATCACAATGGATTTCTTCAATGGATCATTAGATCATTAAAAAATACAAATGTCAGTTTGAGAGCTAAACTAAGTTATGCCCAGAATGCTGCACATCGTATACCCTTTCAGAGTACAGTGGACCCCCGGTTAACGATATTTTTTCACTCCAGAAGTATGTTCAGGTGCCAGTAGTGACCGAATTTGTTCCCATAAGGAATATTGTGAAGTAGATTAGTCCATTTCAGACCCCCAAACATACACGTACAAACGCACTTACATAAATACACTTACATAATTGGTCGCATTCGAAGGTGATCGTTATGCGGGGGTCCACTGTACTGTGTTTTGCATGTACAGTAATTTTGAAACAAGCCATTTTAATAAATTGTAATGCATATTAATGAAGTTTATATGATAGCAATTGACAAAACAAAAACAAGTGTCTGTATTGAAAATCACGTGGCAATATATTTTGCATCTAGTACTTGATATTTCTTGCAGTGAACTGTGATGATATCCGGCAGTGAAGATCACAGTGATCAGTGGTGTTTATGTGAAGATGACTACAGTGTTCTTCAACACTGTGTGTTGTGCAGTGTATGGTCCAGAGTGTGGTGCAATGTGTGGTGCAATGTGTGGTGCAGTGTGTGGTGCAGTGTGTGGTGCAATGTATGGTGCAGTGTATGGTGTAATGTGTGGTGTAATGTGTGGTGTAATGTGTGGTGCACTGTATGGTGCAGTGTGTGGTGCAGTGTGTGGGGCAGTGTATAGTGCAGTGTGCGGTGCAATGTGTTGCAGTGCATGGTGCCATATGTGGTGTAGTGTGTGGGGCAGTGTGGTGCATTGTGTGGTACAGTGTATGGTGCAGTTTGTGGTGCAAAGTGTGGTGCAGTGCATGGTGCAGTGTGTGGTGCAGTGCATGGTGCAGTGTGTGGTGCAGTGTATGGTGCAGTGTGTGGTGCAGTGTCTGGTGTAATATGTGATGCTGTGTGGTGTAATGTGTGGTGCACTGTGTGGTGCAGTGTATGGTGCAGTGTATGGTGCAGTGTGTGAAGTGTCTGGTGCAGTATGGTGCACTGTGTGGTGCAGTGTGTGGTGCAGTGTGTGTTGCTGTGTGGTGCAGTGTATGGTGCAATGTGTGTGCTGCAGTGTACAGTGCAGTGTGTATGGTATAGTGTGTGGTGCAGTGTGCGTGATGCAGTGTGTGTGATGCAGTATGTGGTGCAGTGTGTTGTGCAGTGTGTGATGTAGTATATGGTGCAATGTATGGTGCAGTGTGTGGTGCAGCGTATGGTACTGTATGTTGTAGCATATGGTGCAGTGTGTGCGATGCAGTGTGTGCAGTGTATGGTGCAGTGAATGATGCAGTGTGTGGTGCAGTGTATGATGCAGCATATGGTGCAGCATGTGGTGCAGCATGTGGTGCAGTGTGTGGTGCACTGTGGTACACTGTATGGTGCACTGTGTGGTGCACTGTGTGGTGCAGTGTATGGTGCAGTCTATGGTGCATAGTCCTGTGCAGTGTATGGTGCACTCTGTGGTGCAGTGTGTGGTACAATTTGTGGTACAATGTGTTGCAATGTGTGGTGCAGTGTATGGTGCAGTGTGTGTGGTGCAGTGTATGGTGCAGTGTGTGTGGTGCAGTGTGTGTGGTACAGTGTGTGTGTGGTGCAGTGTGTGTGGTGCAGTGTGAAGTGCAGTGTGTGTGGTGCAGTGTGTGTGGTGCAGTGTGTGTGGTGCAGTGTGTGTGGTGCAGTGTGTGTGGTGCAGTGTGTGGTGCAGTGTGTGTGGTGCAGTGTGTGTGGTGCAGTGTGTGTGGTGCATTGTGTGGTGCAGTGTCTGGTGCAGAGTATGGTGCATTTTGTGGTGCAGTGTAATGCACTGTATGGTGCTGTGTATGGTGCAGTGTGTGCAGTGTATGGTGCAGTGTGAATCGTGCAGTGTGTGGTGCAATGTGTGGTGCAGTGTGTGTGGTGCAGCATGTGGTGCAGTGTGTGGTTCAGGGTATGGTGCAGTGTGTGGTGCAGTGTGTGGTGCAGTTGTCAGCATAGTTGCTGAATCCCCTTACATGTGTTGTATAGATTAACTGAGCATTATAGTACCATCCATGTGCTTTATATAGAAGATCCCTAGGCCTGTGACTGTATGACGTCACGGGATGCAGCATGAGTGAGTGGGTTGCTCTACCTCGCCCTCACTCCACGCTCAGACATACAAGTAGGCAGTAACACGGCAGGCTGGGCCCCCCTTCCTTACCACAGTCTGACAATACATATCGTTACCATCCAACAAGTGTGTTTACCTTCAACCATCATATCTCCTTACGAACCCCCACGACACAGTGTGTGGTGCAGTGTATGGTGCAGTGTGTGTGTAGTGTGGTGCACTGTGTGGTGCAGTGTGTATGGTGCAGTGTTAGTTACCATTGTGTGTGGTGCAGTGTGTGTGGTGCAATGTGTGTGGTGCAATGTGTGTGGTGCAGTGTGTGGTGCAGTGTGTGTGGTGCAATGTGTGTGGTGCAGTGTATTGTGCAGTGTGTGTTGTGTAGTGTGGTGCACTGTGTGGTGCAGTGTTTATGGTGCAGTGTGTTGTTACAATTGTGTGTGGTGCAGTGTGTGTGGTGCAGTGTGTGGTGCAGCGTATGTGGTGCAGTGTGTGTGGTGCAATGTGTGTGGTGCAGTGTGTGTGGTGCAGTGTATGTGGTGCAGTGTATGTGGTGCAGTGTGTGTGGTGCAATGTGTGTGGTGCAGTGTGTGTGGTGCAGTGTGTATAGTGCAGTGTGGGTGCAGTGTGTGTGGTGCAGTGTGTGGTGCAGTGTGGGGTTGGTGGGGATGTGTGTGTGGTGCAGTTGTGTGTGGTTGCAGTGTGTGGTGGTGCAGTGTGTGGTGCAGTGTATGGTGCAGTGTGTGCAGTGGGTGTGTTGTGGTGCAGTGTGTGTGGTGCAGTGTGTGTGGTGCAGTGTGTGTGTGGTGCAGTGTGTGTGGTGCAGTGTGTGTGGTGCAGTGTGTTGTGGTGCAGTGTGTGTGGTGCATGTGGTTGTGTGGTGCAGTGTTGTGTGGTGCAGTGTGTGTGGGTGCAGTGTGTGGTGCAGTGTTATGTGTGCAGTGTGTGCAGTGGTGGTGTGTGGTGCAGTGTGTGTGGTGCAGTGTATGGTGCAGTGTGTGGTGCAGTGTATGGTGCAGTGTGTGGTGCAGTGTGTGTGGTGCAGTGTGTGGGTGCAGTGTGTGCAGTGGAGTGTGTGGTGCAGTGTGTGTGGTGCAGTGTGTGTGGTGCAGTGTGTGTGCAGTGCAGTGTGTGTGGTGCAGTGGTGTGTGCAGTGCAGTGTGTGTGGTGCAGTGTGTGTGGTGCAGTGTGGTGGTACAGTGTGTGTGGTGCAGTGTTGTGTGCAGTGCAGTGTGTGTGGTACAGTGTGTGTGGTGCAGTGTGTGTGGTGCAGTGTGTGTGGTGCAGTGTGTGTGGTGCAGTGTGTGTGGTGCAGTGTGTGTGGTGCAGTGTGTGGTGCAGTGTGTGTGGTGCAGTGTATTGTGTAGTGTGTGGTGCAGTGTATTGTGTAGTGTGTGGTGCAGTGCATGTGGTGCAGTGTGTGGTGCAGTGTGTGTGGTGCAGTGTGTGTGGTGCAGTGTGTGTGGTGCAGTGTGTATGGTGCAGTGTATGGTGCAGTGTATGGTGCAGTGTGTGGTGCAGTGTGTGGTGCAGTGTATGGTGCAGTGTATGGTGCAGTGTGTGGTGCAGTGTGTATGGTGCAGTGTGTGGTGCAGTGTATGGTGCAGTGTGTGTGGTGCAGTGTGTGGTGCAGTGTATGGTGCAGTGTATGGTGCAGTGTGTGGTACCTCCATAGTAATATATTTATTTTGAAATCCTCCTCATAAAGGTATTTACTTCTCTATCATTTTCAATTCCTACCAAACTCTCACAAACTCAACACCACATGTAATAAAAAAACACAGTACAGGTTGACCATCACTAATCTGGCATCATCCAGACCTGTTGGATGCCGGATTAGTGATTTTTCCGGACTACAGAGTCATTAGGTTAGAATACACTTAACCATCGGCGATATTTACGCATTGGCGATTTCACCCATTTTACGCCCTATTTTTAGCCCACTTCATTGTTCCAGTCTACCAAACTCATAGCTTGTTCTCTTGTATTCCTTCTATTCTATCAACTGAGTACAAGAAACCATCCATTTACCTATTGGGTAATTGTAATAGGTAAATTGTAATAGGTAATTGTAATAGGTAAAGTGGTCAGAAATTGGTAATTTGGCCAATTTTATACAAATTTCAGGAGATGCCAATTTCAAAATAGGGTCCAGAATAAACAATGCAATATTCCTTGCACTAAAATAACATTTTCTCTGTTCACTAGTCATGTCTCCAGGCTCCTCATATTATGCTTGGTTTCCATTTTGAATTTTTATTCACATAAAAAATAGAAGATTGACTGTTATGCAGACTACTGCATTATTATAATAATTGTATAAATAATGTCAACCCATTCATGACTGCGTATCAGACTGGCCAGTTGGACATGTATTTGATGGTAATGTCATTTACTCTTGAACATCAGCAAAAATCAAATGTTTCCATTATTTTGAGCTCAATTTCAAGGTACTTTCCATCATGAAACCAATCAAAATCAAATCTATTTCCGTAATATATCTTCCATTCTATCAAACGAGTCCAAAACACGAGAATACAACCAAAAAAATATGAAAATACACCGCAAATTTGCTGTTTTACACCAAAAACATGGTTGGAGTTTTTTTCTGATGCACTGCGTGCAGCAGGATTTTTTTATATATAGTGCACACTTGCCACACAGACCTATTCTCTCATATGTAGGCCCATTTACCAGTCACAGCATATCTGAGTGAGCTGAGCTCATGGTGACTGACAGTGGCTTCAAAGTCACCTCACCTTTTATGGAACCATGGCTAGGGCTAAAAGTGAGCAGGTTATAACAATAAATGGAGAAGGAGAAATTGGAATGACTTATGCAGCAAGTAGCACCACCAAACAGTAGCAGCAGGTTGGTGTGGCGACCCTGGAAATTTGAAATTATGCTAGCTGAAGTTAGTGCCGGATTACTGAAAGAACCGGATAACGGATTGCTGGATTAGTGATGGCCGACCTGTATAAGAATTGTTATTCTTATATATATTAGAAGCATACACTACATACTGTCCATACAGAGATGAATCAAGGAAGGGGCAGCAGCCTTTACTTTCTTGGATCAAAAGCCCTTCAGTGGTATCAAGGCACCCTTTTGATGAGTACAGTATTGAAAAAAATCATTGTATTTGCTGAAAAAATAGTAAAAATGAAGTCATAAATCATACA